AATGTGACATAATACATAGATAGATAGATTGGCTAAAAGGTAAATTTAAAGTCAGACCGCCTTCGGCTAGTCCGACTAATAACCATTGTCAGCTGAGCTTCTGTCTTGCTTCAATGTAAAGCACAGCGACCACCTACCTTAGTTTCAATATCAGAGCCATAAAAAGAAGCTGTTGTCAAATCAGGGAAGATGTACCTATTCAGAGAACTGATAAGGGGAGAGAACAAACATCCCATTGGCTTTGGCGTGAAAAAAGAAATCCATGCCATCAAAATTTGTAAGAAAAAAGAATACATGTCAATTAAGGATAATTATGGATATCTTTAAAATATTGCAACCCTCACTTAAAATGTTTAGCATCTCATAATTTGTTTATATCATTCCAWAACTTTCCATTTGCATCAGTTCTCATCATGTCTCGTGCCTTATTACGTGTATCAATAGAATTCAGAGGAAAGAAAACCAAGACTTTCAAAGTTAAWGTTGCAGCCAAAGGAGTGGCCCCCACAAAATTAAAACTTCTCAAACCGGCAAAGACAAGCATGCCTCGCCACCCAATGCCCTTTGCTGCCAAGAACATGTATTACGATGAGAGATGGATTGAAAAACAGGAAGAAGGTAGCTTTTTTGTCTAATTACCATTTTTTACATAATGCACCATTTTTTGAAGAAAGAAGTATAGTCAGTAGAAAATRTGTGTGAAAATTTGTCTTCCTTTTGCTACACAATAGGTTTTAAAAGATGGCTGAACTTCATTCTGACCCCTCCTGATGAATGTGACGTAAAMGAAACAAATCCAGGTACACTAACGTCAATAAATGCACAATCACATTATTATGAAATTATAATTATTTAATGTTATTTACAAGATATTCTYACTGTTTCTTCACCAGGTTTGCTTACAATGTCGTCAACCAAGTCACAACCCAAAGCACCCAGCAAGGAGGACCTCTCTCTCAAGGCATACACCACTCGGCGCAAGATGGCACGCCTTAGGCGATGTGCTTGCTTACTTTACCAGTCAGAGCCTGTTATATGTGTCATTAGGAAAATTGAAGCTGAAGTTGAACTGGGTCGACTTGCAATAAGACCTGATAGAAAGATTCATGCTGACTTAGGTATATGATTCTAACAACTATTTTATACCACAAATATTACAATTTAATTTCAGTCCAATTATTTTTTGCATTTATTGCTGTATATTTGTGGGACTTTTTCTACCTGTGTGTAATCATCAGAGAAAACTTAGAAAATAGACCCTTTGCCAWAATGTATGCCACTAGTTGACATAATTATTTTGTCAGCCTTTTTGCAAAATGATGTTCAATTTGTATAAGGTTGAAAAATAGGCCATGTATAGTGGCCTTGCCCAATCTAGCATTTAAAGGCTAGCCAGGCTACTTGGAAAAGAAATTGGTAACTTGACTCTAAAACATTGCTGCTCATTATTCATTTTGTTTGTCTTCAAAGGCATCAAAAAGAACATTGTCAAGATGATACTGTCATACAATCCACTRTGGCTTAGGATTGGCCTAGAGGTGAGATGTTTATGAATAAGAAACTAGTTTATTAAATTAACAGTATAATACTGATAAATCTTATCAATACCATAATTTCTATTTCAATAATTTCAGTAATTTGCCTCACTAGTATTCTGTCATCCGAAATATTTATCATTGATGATTGCTAATAATTATAATTTTTTTACGTATTTGAATCGTGCATTACTAGTAACCCATATTCAGTCCCGTTTTGATAGAAAACCTTTGAATTTAATAACCACATGACAGGGGCCTTAAAGCTGGTACAGAAAAACTCGTATGCTGCTCAGATACATGTACATCACTACTTCATATTTATTTATTATTATTATATACCTTTGAAATTAATGTAGTCAAAAAATGTTTTTTTGTGGATCTCGCACGGCCCTCACGCACAGCCAAAAAGTACATTGAACCAGTTTGATAAACGGTTTTTTTTTTCAGACTGTCTATGGCGAAATCCTTCCAGTTCAGTCTAATAGCGATGTGACTGGATTAGCTCGATTCATAACAGACCATATGCTAGGTAATCCAAGCATCGCACGGACTTACGCACACCCTAAAGTACCAGGGCTCTTCAAGGATGGCTATGTTGAACAGCTATGTAAATTTAGCCTCAAGAAATTCTTGTTTCTCGTGCTGTTCCTGGATCGAGCCAAGTTGACAAGAATTATAGATCACGATCCTTGCCTGTTTGTCAAAGATGCCGAGTTTAAGGTTAGTATTACTTGCTGTACCATTTTCATAGACCGACAAACCTTTGAATCCAGTGTTATCATATAAAACGAAAGCTATGGMATGTATTCTCCAGTCTCTAGTGCATTCTGGTCTAGAAGAGAACTTTTYATCATATGCGCATTCCTTTGAAATAGACACGTGATCGGGGACCTCACACCATTGCTTATAGAAATTCCCCTTTAGTTAAAATTGAAATAACTGGATTCTTTTCAATCAAACTAAGAAGAAATGAGTTACGTGCTTACCACAATTTTTATTTTTCACATTTTACAACCAAAAAAGGACAATCGTATGATAAATGATCCACAGTTACGAAGTTGAAAAAGTCTTTAGATGTWCAAATTTTACAGATATCAAATAWATACATTATTTGTTTATTTGTTTCACTTTCAGTCAAGTCGCAGCATTCTTCTGTCGTTCTCGAGAGAATATTTGAAAGGCGAAGGGGACATMACAAAGCACCTAAGCTATCTTGGATTCTCTGTCACACATCACCAGGTTTGTTCTGTTCGTGTTCTTGAATTCAATGGATTCTTTTTTTGCGAAATGCAGCACTTGCATGAAATGCGTGATTTCAATGTGTATCCTCCTGCTGGCCGAATCACTTTTAACTCTCGTTAAAGGGATACCGACCATTTGAATTGATTAAGTGTCTGCAATAGAGAGTGTCCCTTGTAATAGATTTCATAGTGGCTGTAGGGGAAGGAGGAGTGAAGATTGAAGGGGGTAGGGCTGGGGGAGCGATATTTTCGGTAGCCGTTTCTTCAGCAACAACAGAGTGTCCATGATGTTGTCAAAGTAGTTTCCAGACTGTACTGTGATATTCAGTAAGAATGCTGGTGCAGAGAAGGCTCTTGATATTTTCTGCATTACTTTCAACGTGTTTTAACAGCGGCCTGTAGATGAGATTGACTATGCTGTTACCAACATCGCCGTTGATTTGAGAGATGGACTTAGATTGACGTAAGTGTTTTCTTAACAAGCGATCTTATTGGCTGACATCAAAGAGTATGTCTGTTCGCTCTGTGTGAGGTCTATACGACCTATGAATATACCGTGACATGTGGTCAGTGGTACTATGAGTATTTATAGCTCAATTTGGCTTTGCGCGTTCTCTGATGAGCGAAGACACAATCCAGCAAATAAAATCAAATTGGACCATTTGGAYCARCCAGCGTGTAGACTTGTRTATTTATATTAGTCTTGMYAATAGAATAGTGAAAATGCCTTCCTTGAAACTTTTAATTATTTTACAGACGTGTTGTTGAGTTGCTGACGCACAATTGGAAGTTAACGCAGAGCCTTCGCGTTCCCGCCATTTCAAGACTTCAGGTATATGTACGGCCTCTGTAAACCTGGTATTTACAGGAACATATTCAGTCCAGTCCACTCTTACACTCTTTGTAACGATCATAATGTAAACGTTTATTGACACCGTATAATAGCAGATCACAAACCGTTTACGTGTGAACGGGTCTTTGTAAGGCGTTTACGTGTGAACGCGTCTTTGTAAGGTGTTTACGTGTGAACGTGTCTTTGTAAAGCGTTTACGTGTGAACGTGTCTTTGTACAGCGCTTCCAAACCACAACATGTGACAAATCTGCGATAAATTTGCTTTGATGMGCATGCGCAGTGGAGCTATATTTTTGAAGGCTTGAAAGACCGGCTCAAATCCACAAACTTTTCAGATCGAAAAACACAATTATTGACATCTTTGATTGTTATCATTTGTTGGTTTGTCTCTTGAAGAAAATTCACAATGTGGACGTTTTTATGCAAGCACTCAAGGAACGTGACATTCCGGTGGGAGACGGAGAAGGTAATAAAGGCAATGTTTCAAATAGAATGTTTCCTATTAAACTGACAATCTTTCTTTTCTTCCCAGTTCATCCTTTTCTCTTTTCTTTTTTTCTTTGCCACTTGTATAATAAGGCTGATTTCCCAACTGATATATAATAGTCTGTTTTCTAAGTGAGTGTAAGGTAAATGGGAGTTGATGGTATATTCATAGGTTGTGGTGTGAATCCTCGTCATATCGTTGACGGACATCGTGAAAAGACTCTTCAGTTGCTATGGATGATAATATTCAACTTCCAGGTGAGGACATTACTTTCACAGTGTCTTATGTATCTATCAAATATCGATAAAAAGAACTTTGCATCGGAAATTACTCGTGGATATTTGCATTGATTTGTAATAATCACAGCAATCATAAGTTGGTGGRAACGTAGCGGTAAACTAGTGTGAGCTGCRTMGGTGTTTCTAAAGAAGCAGTTGTRTAAAAAGATAAATTTRACACYGTAAAAAAGTAAGTGAAATAGGGGGAACATGGCCGCGTTAATCGATCACGTAGTTTCCATAAGTAATAGACTTTMCCCCCTCAATCTTTCTCTTCTCCGTCTCCAAACGTCACTCTTGGCAATGTGTAAAACACTGTTAGAATAAGAATAGTTTGTGCAGAATTGCCGAAGGGAGTGGGGTTAGGGTTTTGTACAGGCATAGTATAGGCTTGGCGTGAATAAGCCGTATAAGGGYTACTAGTCAAMGCACTACATGTACTGCTTGGACTGTGTATTGTAAACAAGACTTACTTTCTTGTATCGTTCTTTAGGTCAATGTTGTCCTCAGCGAGAAGCAGCTCAAAGAAGAGATATCTTTTTTAGAGCAGAATCAGTGCCTACGAGACCAGTTGTCAGCAGAGCCGTCCATGCTGGGTTTACCGAGAASCAAACGTGAATCTCTTGAAAATGACATTTACTTCAAATCATCACGACTCAGTTTGCTRCTCAAATGGTGCAAACTCATCTGTCGACAGTACAAGATGAAGGTATGCACAATGGTTTTCGCTTGAACGGGTGAGTTCGCGTGGTAACCGACATCTTTCTTTGCAGGTGGAAAACTTCACAGTTTCCTTCTCTGATGGACGTGCTTTGTGTTATTTGTTACATTTCTACCACCCGACTCTACTTCCTTTGAGCATGATCAGACAGGATACTACCTTGACGAGGAATCCTGGGATACAGGAGGACAGCGAGGAGGAGGAAGAAGGGATTGTCAGGGACTCGTGGGCAGCCAGTTATAGTCCCGGTAATTCATCTTTTATTATCCTATCAGAATCTTAAAGTTAGTGTACAAAATTACAATATAATTTTTATATCGGTGATATTTTCAAACACTGTCATGTCTCGTGTAGGTTCTGGTGTCAACAAGGAGATTGAAAAGCTTAAAGCAAACGAAAGAGAAAACTTTAAACTCATTGCRGAAAAGGTAAGCAGTGAGGCTTGAATTTCGAGGTGTTTTTGTGCTGGCAATCTAGACAAAGAGCAACTTGTACTCGGTCCCATCTTGTGCGTGTGATACCCTATAATAGTAACGAACTCTTGAAATTGCTCCGTAGTATCTAGAATTATATCCGAAAACTGCCAAGGTCAATAAACATTTTGAGAGACAACACCTATAAACTTTTTCTTGTCAAAATTGGTTAACAAAACGTTGTTTCATTTTGATTCATGGTGTTCGTTAGTTTAACATGGCTTAACCATGGTTTTAGATAGACATAAGCTTGCATTTATATCTTTTCAGGTTAAAGTTCTTGGTGGTGTGCCCATGATGACCAAGTTTTCTGACATGTCRAATACTATCCCAGACGAAAAGGTAACTGACTGCACAAACWGTACTGTGCGAAATAGACGCACGTTGATAGGATTGATGCTCAAGTGTGACATACTCGTGCATATYGTTACAGGTCGTCATCACATACACTTCCTATCTGTGTGCTCGGTTGTTGGATCTTCGAGAAGAGACGCGCGCAGCGAGAAAAATCCAAGTTGCTTGGAAGCGTTATCAACTTAAGAAGCGATTGGAACGACAGCAAGATTTGATTAGAGCTGCAGTGGTGATCCAGGTAACGACAGTGAATCATTCTGTCTGTCTGTCTGTCCATTATATTTATGTAGGTCTATAGTGTAATTAATGTTCTGTTTTCTATCCAGGCCCATTTAAGAAGAGCAATACAACGCCGTCGTTTCATTAAGCTAGTTACAAGTACTGTAACTATACAATCAGTTTACCGCGGATACAAAGTTCGTCAAAGACAAAGACAGCTGACCAATGCTGTGTGTTTGATCCAAGGAACATTTCGCGCTGCAAGGAGAATGCGTAACGAGAGAGCTGAGTTCCTTCGTTACAGAAAGGCAGCGATAACTATCCAGGCAGTGTTCCGTGGACAAATGTGTCGACAATTGCTAGCCAGAAGTCATGCTGCTGTAGTCATCCAATCGTACTGGAGAAGTCATGTAAACAAATCGAGGTTTTTAAAGATGAAGAACGCGGCCATGATGTGCCAGAGACTTGTAAGAGGAAAGCTTCAGCGAGAAAGGTTTATTGCTGTGAAAACTGCTGCTATTGTTTTACAGATGCATTACCGAGCTTTGCGAAAACAACGAGAAGAGAAAGAAAGGTTTCTAGTCATTCGTAATGCGTCTGTTACAGTTCAGGCCTTTTATCGTGGATATAGAGAAAGGTATGCATCGTCTCTTCTTTTTGCTCCGTCTCTCCTACTTTTTCTTCCCTTAGTATCCTATTTTTCACCATCTTTCGTCTACTCCAGTATTTTCCATTTTTCTATTTTCATGCTTTTTCTCCGCACCTCGTTCGTTTTTTCATCTTTCTTCTTCATCCTGTGTGATGGGTTCTTTCGACAATATTTATGTTATTGTTCGCATTACCAGATCAGATTTGTCAAAAATGTTCAAAAATCTTTATGACTAACTCTTATTTTTATTTCAGAATATTCGTGAAGAGASTTCGAGCTGCCATYGTCTTACAGAAGAATTTCAAGATGTTTCACCAACAAGTGGTATACAACCTTCAGAAGCAATCCGCCATCAAGATACAGTCGCTTACAAGAATGTTTCTAGCAAGAAGAAAYTTCAGYAAAACAAAGCAAGCTGTMATAACAATCCAAACCCACTTCAGAGCWTTCACAGCTGGTCAGCGGCAATACATGGCGTACACGCGATTCAAGTCTTCTTGCATCAAACTGCAATCACTGTGGAGGCGATATTCTGCGAGAAAACAGTTTGTTCAAATCAGGACCTCAACAATAATGATTCAAGCATCATTCAGACGTTCTGTAGCAAGAGCGAAGTTTATAGAGATGAAATTGTCGTCCATAAAGATTCAAAGGTATTACAGGGGTTACAGGTTGATGAAGCAAGTGCGGAATGAGTTCCAATCTCTCAAATCTGCTGCAGTCGTGATACAATCTATGTATAGACGACACAAGTGCCGATGTTCTTACGTGAGGTCAAGAGAAGCTATCATCAAAGTCCAGGCGATTTGCCGCGGAAATTCACAAAGACGGAGATATCTAATGGTCAAAAAAGCAACTTCTGTGATTGCAGAGAGATTTCGAGCTTTACTCCAAGGACGACAACAAAGGATTGTCTTCCACGTTCAACGTGGCGCTATTGTAACCATCCAGGCCGCCTTCCGTGGATTTCTTGTACGTAGAGATCTTGAAAGAAACACTGTTGCAGCAACGTATATTCAAACACAATTCAGGGGCTTTGCTGCAAGAAAAACCTTCAAAAACCTCAAGGCTTCAGYAACAATCATTCAAGATAGATTCCGTGCTTACAGGGTCGGTAAGAGTGAGCGTTTAAAGTACAAAGCTACAAGGCATGGGGTTATTATACTGCAGGCTATCTATCGTGGAAACAAGACTAGGCAACATCTTCAACAATTGCACTCTGCTGCTAATTGTTTACAGGCGAATTACAGATGTCACGTGACCCGCGCACAATTCAATAAGCTGARGAAGGCAGCATCGATTGCGCAAGCGCACTACAGGGCGATTCGGCTAACCCGAGCCGCTATGAAAGATTATCAAATGGTACGCTCTGCTGTTRTATTGATTCAATCGCATTATCGAGGAATGGTAGTTAGAAGAGAAGTGGAACAACAAAGGCAGGCTGCAATTGTTATTCAGACCACATTTAGACGTCATTTTCAGCAGTCAAGGTAATCTGTATCGTTTTCTCTTTAGTAATAATCGATATTATCATCACCATTACCAACCTTATTAACCCTCACTGCATGATGTCAAAATTGGTGTCTTAACAMCTGCGCAGAATTTCCGTTTGTTTCTCGGCTTTCCTTTGTCAGTCATGTGACATTGGAATATCCATCTTCATGCCATTGATAATTAAATAATGTATTTCTAATGTAATATACTAATGCGTTAACAAACTTTTATATCTATTACATAGGTACCTCCACCTCAAGAGTGCTGCTTGTGCAATTCAAACTAGGCTTAGAGCGATACAAAGGGGTAGATTCCAGGCTCAGCGCTTCCAATCCATGAAATCATCAGCCATTAAAATTCAAGCAATTTTCAGAATGTCACAAGCACGAAAGAACTACAAGAAGCTTAGAGCAGTGATTCTCCTCCAGTCYACTGTACGAGGGATGRTTGTAMGGCGACACTTCAAAGAGATGAATTCAGCTGCAGTTAAAATACAGACTGCATTCCGTGGTTATATCGCAGTGAAGCATTACAAGARCTTRCRGAAAGCTGCCCTAAGGATCCARTCAAACTTCAGGGCATTAAAACAACTTCAAAACTACCAACAATTGAAATCTTCAGYAGTAAAGATCCAGTCTTACTACCGTGGACACCGTACAAGGGAGTTCGTCAAGCAAATCAAATCTGCTATCATCCTCCAGTCTTACTATCGTAGATTCGTCGCCCAAAAGCAGTACAACAAAAAGAGAAATGCAATAATTAGTATCCAGGCATCTATTCGGCGCTTTTTGGCCGTGAGGTATTACGAAAGACTAAGGAGAGTCACTATTTTTATGCAGCGACGTCATCGTGCAAATGTTGCGTTACTGAGGCAATACATGTTGTACCATATACAGCGTGGGGCGTGTATTGTGTTGCAGTCCGCAGTACGTCGATATAAAGCTCGTAGAAAGTTCATCKYAGTAAGGAATGCTGCAGTTACTCTACAGAGGCAGTACAGGGCTGTGATGGAGGCAAGGCATAGAAGGAAAACATACTTGGCTCTCAAGGCAGCCACGATCACTTTGCAAAGCTTTTCTAGAGGTTAGTACTTATTTCCTAGGCATTTTGTCAAAGAATCAATACAATACATTTATTTGCATTCATGTGCTTATGCTGTAGTTGTGTTATAAGTATTGATATTTGGATCTTACCTAWTGTCTACCTAATTGTGAGTTCAACTCAACATATTTTTGTTACGTTTTGTTWAGAACAATGTAGGCAATGTAGTTAAGGGGTGTAACTTCGGGGAATGGGATGGCGGGGTCATCTAGATCTACTGTTAATAAAAGTCTAGAAAGGTATCTCCACAATATTGTAAATAATAGTCTTGTGTCAACGGATATCAATAAAATAAGAATAAAATAAAGACAAATAAAGATACATATAATAATAAATATAATATCTGATCACAATGGACATTGAATTAAGTCACTGTACCATTGTCGGTAGTTCTCCTGTTTTACCAAGATTTGTTTCACGGTTTTCTGTGTTTTTCTCAGGTCTGCTAGCACGACGTCTTGTCACACAGCACAAAGCTGCAAGAATAATTCAGTCATTTTACAAAATGCACGTATCACAAACAGCTTATAACAAACTAAGAAGAAACGYTATAGCAGCTCAGGCAACAGTCAGAATGGTTCAACAAAGACAGCGTTATAAGACACTAAAGAAAGCAACATTAACGATACAGACTCGCTACCGCGCTGCACGCCTCGGACGGGCCGTGAAGAATAATTTCAGCCAGTTCAAGACAGCTGCCATTACAGTACAGAAAATCTACAGAGGACATCTTGCTCATAAACACTGCCACAAGATTCGCTCAGCTATCAAGATTCAAKCTATTTTCAGAGCTTACACAGTTCGTCAAAAGTTTTTGAAATGCCGAAGTTCTGTTGTTCATGTTCAGTCTTTGGTACGAATGGTTCAAGCTAGGAAGAATTATCAAAAATTACACCAGTCTGCAATTATCATTCAGAATTGGTACCGAAGTATGTTGATGAYGAGAGAGCAAAGAAGCGAATACATATTGACAAGGCAGTCTGCCATAGTATTGCAGTCGGCGGTTAGACGTTGGAWGGCTTGTACACGGTACTCGAGTTTAAAAACTGCTGCTGTTTGTATACAGACTAGATACAGAGCTACAGCTGCTGCAAGAAAACAACGAAGTTGCTACCTCAATCTTCGACAAGCAGCCATAACAATTCAAACAGGATTTAGGGCACTGAAAGCCAAACAACTCTGCAGTCAAATGCGAGCCGCCAGGTTAATCCAAGCCTACTTCAAGATGCACAAAATGCGTGCGGAGTTCATTGCAAGACGGCATGCAACCATTGCAATCCARTCCTTTGTAAAAATGGCTATTCAAAGAAACCAGTTCCTTAGGTTGAAATCTGCTRCTCTTTTCTGCCAGAGGAAACGCCGCGCAACTCAACAATGTCGCCTTCAAAGASAAACTTACTTGAAGTTCGTGAAAAGTGTGATTGTGGTTCAGTCAGTGTACAGAGGKAATAGCGCGCGAAAGCAAGTACAAAAAATGGTTGAGAATAAGAAGAAAGCCAACGAAGCAGCTACAAAGATACAGAGATTCTATCGAGGATACYGCGCTATGGTTAACACTCGTTTGTACTACCAYTATACACGAGGAGCRGCTATCACTATTCAATCATGGTACAGAGGATTTGCAGCTAGGAAACTAGCACATCRTATTCGCTGTGTCGTCAGGCTACAAGCCTATTATCGAGGGGCTGTCGCACGACATCAATATCAAATCACCAGACGTTCCATTGTCAAAATACAGGCCACTGTTCGCGGCTTCATCGAAAGAAAGAGATATTTGAAGTTACAGCGGACTGTTTTGCTATGCCAGCAAGTATATAGAGCGACTAAGAAGATGCAGGTACAACGAGACTTCTTCTATCGATACAAATCAGCCGTCACTAGATTACAAGCTGTTTGGAGAGGAARGAAAGATAGAAGTAGGTGTAAAGAGAYGGTACAGCGTATTGTGTTGGTTCAGGCGTYAGTTAGAAGGTGCTTGGCAAGAAATAGATTCCTTACATTACAGCAAGCCGTWGTAACGGTACAATGTCGTTATCGAAGTAAATGTTTKACAAGACAATTGCAAAACCACTACAAGATGCTGAAGAWTGCAGCTAGGACTATACAGGTAAGAAAAGTTATGTCCAGTATACTGGCTGGTATTGATTGTATGTGCAGTGTTTTTGRTTTCGTTGCACGTCAACGCATTAAAGAACCAGGCTTTGTTCGCRTRCCAAAGTGCCTTATTGCCTACCTAAACAGTCATTTTACAATTTACTAGTTTTTMTTATAATTATTTGCTTATTGTCGTCTAATTCGTTTMTCTTAGCGTTACTATCGAGGCTACCTTGACAGAAAATATGTTCAYCAAATCATGGCTGCCCGTGTCATCCAAAGACACTACCGAGCAGTTTGYGAAGGACGACGTGTACGCAACRATTACTTGACTACTAGAACGGCCATTATAACTATACAAGCTGGTTACCGTGGTTACCTTGGACGTAGACTTGCCACTAGACATGCTAGCGCTCGGGTGATACAAACTAGAGTTAGAGGGTTTATGGCTCGAAAACAATTTAAGGTAATTTTTAACGTTTTCTCCTCGGTCAGCACTGCTATTTGCGAGATTGCAAAGACACGTGTACTTCTTATGGTTGAACATAGGATTTTGTTGCTAGTTGACTTGAATGTTAAACCTGGTTTTAATCAAAAGAGCTATATCAACTACTAATTTACCTTCCCTCACAAACAAACTTAATATTTTCAGTGCGTACCTCATGCTTGTGAAAAATTGTTAGATATTTTATTTTTGCATTCTAAACTAATTATTTTATATCAGAAAATGCAAGAAGCTCAACGTCAAAGGCTTCTTAGGTTTGTGGCTACTGCTTGGTATCACCTATCAGTCATAAAAGTACAGCGGGCTTACCGGCGAGCGCATGCTCTTGCASTAGCTAGAAAAGAGATCTGCTCAGTCATTCATATCCAGGTAATGTATTATTTTGTCTGTTTTATTATGAGTACTATTTATAACATCGCATCATGTTTCAGTGTTGGTGGCGTGCTGTCTTAGTACGTCGTAACTTTCAAGACATGCGTAGTGCAGCTATTGTAATCCAGAATGCAACRCGGMAAAGGTTAAACCGAAAGAATCAAGCAGCTACTAGAATCCAGRCTTTTACTCGTGCGTGGTTTGCGAGAAAGACTGTGGCAAAAATGAASGCAGCGGCGTTGAAAATCCAGGTAAAAGCTGATTATTGTRCATTTTATTAAATTCGACAGCCTGCTTCTTGTCTATCACCCTCGTCGATGAAAACGTTTATTGAAGGGRAAACGGCACTTAGCAGTGTCTTTAATGATAAAATCTTTATTTCATTGACTTTAACGTGTCTATATTTGTCCAGGCCTGGTTCCGTGGTCACCAAGTTCGTAGTCGTGTGAAAAGTTTGAAAGTAAAGACAGCGCGCAGACGCATAAAGGCGGCCAATCAGGCAGCGACTGAATCCATGAAGCTTTGCAATCGCGCAAGATCAGCTCTTGATTATCTRTTGTGCTGTAAAAACCTGACAACCATCTTTGATGTTCTCGTCAACCTCGGTAAGACAGTTGCTTGGTTTCCCTTTCTATGCCGATTGGTTGTTGTCGTTGTTGTTGTTTTTGAAAAATGCCGTTCTACTCAGATCTAATCATGCTCCATTTGATTTGCTGACATGATTTCTTGATGTTTGAATAATAYACCGTCCCGGGCCGACATCAAAGCACAGATTACGTAATTCGTTAGAAACAAAAGATATAAACAGGCAGAATTTAAACAAGACATAATCTATTATAATCTAATAACCGAAATACAAAGAAACTTGACTAGAGTACAATAGACTCCGGTAACCATAGAAATACCCAATTAACCACTCTCTTCACTCTTAATCGACAAGTTAACCCCGGATTGGAYTTGTAACCAACAACCACCCCTAGGCTTGTTCTCGARCCACTGAATACCCATTTYCCAGAGTGGATGAATACTTCATTATTAACTTGCAGTGGATTCTTTTTRTCACAGAGGTCGTTACACGCCTATCATACGTATGCTGTGAGCAACTTGTCAAAGACAAAGCTCTTCAAATCATCTTCACCGTGATCAGAAACTCAA